AATATATATATATATATATATATATATATATATATATAGAACAACCCAAAAAGTGTGTAATGCCAAGTATGAAAATAAAGTTTGTACATTGGTTAAATCTCTTTATGGACTAAAACAAGCACCTAAACAAAGGCATGAGAAATTTGACAATGTGTTGACGTCAAATGGTTTTAAAATAAAAGAGGCTGATAAATGTGTGGATAGTAAGAAAATAAATTCTTTATGTATCATAATTTGTTTATATGTAGATGATAAGCTTATCTTTGGCACTAACCTAGAAATTGTGGAGGAAACTGAAAATTTCATCACGTCTAATGTTGATATGAAGGACTTAGGAGAGGCTGATGTGATACTTGGTATCAAAATAGTGAAAAATAAATAAATATTAATCTTGACTTCTCACTACAGTGAGAAAATGTTTAATAAATTTGAGCATACTGATAGTAAGCCAGTCTTTACCTCTATAGATCCTTATATTAAATTTAAAAAAATGATGAGAGATGTATATCTCAACTTGAATATGCTAGGATAATTGGTAGTTTAATGTATACAATGACTAGCACAAGGCAATGTCATGTAGTGGGTAAACATAGTAGATATACAAGTTGTTCAAGTAAAGAGCATTGAGATGTTATATCTCGAGTATCAAGATACTTGAAAGGAATATCAATTATGGCATAAAATATGAGGGTTATCCCAAAGTGTTGGAAGGGTATAGCGATACTAATTGGAATAAAGAAATCCAAGATTCACTATCAACATCCAGGTTGATATTTACATTAGCGAGTGATGTGATATCATGGGGATCAAATAAACAAACATGTATTTCACACTCTACTATGGGTATGAAATTATTGTTAGACTCTGTTGGCAAAGATGATGAATGGCTAAATAATTTGTTATATGACATTCTCATATAGCCAAAACTAATATCTGCAATAACAATATATTGTGATAATCAAACTACTATTACAAGAGCTTATATAATAAAAAATCTATGCATATTATGAGAAGGCATAACTCCATTAAAATGTTAATTGGGGATGGAGTGATTAGTATAAAATATGTAAGATCAAAAAAAAATTTGGCTGATCTTTTGACTGAAGGCCTTACAAGCGATGACATTAGTAAGATGTCTAGATGAATGGGGCTATAGTCCATTGAGTAGTGTCCATTGAGTAGTCATCTACAGTGGGAGCCCAACTTAGTCTTTTATAACCTCAAATTTTAAGTTTAATGTGGTAAAAACGAACAGTATATATTGTTCGTTTGGTCACTAGATGACAAAATATAATAGCACACATTCTAAAGAAATCTATACGATAGATATGTCTAGTGATGACCTTTATGTTAGTAGGATAAGCTATGCTCTTAATGTTTCTATGGACTATATTTATACATCGGAGTATTTTATATACAAGGGACACCCTAATATAAGTGTGGAAGTGAGGCCGCTTCATATGAGATTGACTCGTCTCTATAACACTTATGAAATCAGGATATAAGCACAAGGCCCAAAACGTATTGGCAGCTAAAGAGACACCAGAGTCTAATATTGTTTGTGAGTTAATACTATCGATCTGTTAGATAAGCAACTTGGTTTAAAGCTATACGCTACTACAATACTTGATGGACTTTTTGGTGTACACTCTAAGTGAAAGTTCAAATTGAAAGACATTTTCATGGTAAGCAAATAATATGTTTCCTATGTTTTGTTTTATTATTTTGAAATAATGGAGGAAATTGTTAGTATCTTTTATTTGAAAAATCTTAAGTATATTTCAAAACAACAACTTTGATTTCATTGTTATTTCCTAAATTGCTTTTGTAGTGAGAGAAAGATGTGGTTTTGAGTCCCACATTGAAGAGAAAAGAGTTTTTTGTAGCTGTTGGGTGGTGCATGTAACCACCAATACACTAAGGAGCAAGTGCATGTAACTTGTAGTTGTTGGGTGGTGCATGTTACCACGACAACACTAAATGGGCAGCTTCTTGGTGCTCTATAATAAAGGCCCTATAACCTATAGGAGCTGGATGCTTAAAACAATTTTAAGCCTCTCAGCATCACACCATTCTATGCAATTCCAACAAGCAAACTAGTGGGCTAAACTCTCTCTCTATTCAATTTTATCTCTTTCTCTTTCTAAACTATCAAGACTCTGGTGTCTCATGTGTGGGTTCCAAACTCGAGTACATAGAGCTTAGGAACATTGCAAAATATCTCTTTGTTTTCTTGTGTATCCCAATGACAAATTGCCCTTATTATACACATCAAATACTCTATTCAAGAGGGCAAATATCGTCTTGAGATAGTGCTCCTACGTGCCCGAAAACAAAAAGAGTTCGAGATCTAATTTTTTCAAATCGTACAATTTCTGCTCCTATTTCACCCAACCAAATTCCAACATAAAGGTGATAGTAACCTCCTTGAACCACTCTTATTGTATATTTTATCAATGAAAAAGACCAGGAATCACCACATTTACACTCATAAAGGAGACTAGTGAAATCAACCATTAAGAGCTCACTGGTCTCAATTGGAAATCGACTAAGTCATATCAAATAATAACCATTGCAATTCTGGAGGGAGAAGCTAAGAAATAAGGCTAGTCACCTGATTTTCAACAACAAAAAAAAGAAAAAAACTTGTACTCCAAGACTTGGCCGATTTTGTATTCGACTTGGGCTCGTGACCTTGATTAGTACGAGCCCAGTTCCGACTTTTCAAACACCAGGGCAAAAGAATTGTCCATTCTTCTATTTTGGCCAATCTTTTGCTTGTGTGATATTCCTTTTCATTAGAAAACACTAGGTTGTAAATGGGTTGCCTCAGATCAAGTCGACTTCAAACGAGACCAAACCCAACTAGGTCTAAGCTAGACCTGACTCCTCTGGGTCCAAGTCAATTGAACCTGGACAGTTCCGGATCCAGATATGAAAACATATGATTGGGAGATCAAATAATTAAAAATGTATAAATCGTTCAATAGCTGAAAAGTTGTGTATTTTGACAAATATTCCTTCACCAAATAAATATATTCTATATATAGGAGTGGGTTGGGTCTTATTGACTCCAACCCAAACCTAACCGAATGCCATATGTTTCAGGCTGGACCTGGCCCGAGACAGGTTGGGTTCAAATAAACCTACATCCAATACCTGGGTCCAAACCTAGACCATGTCGGGTCAACCTAACGCATGTCCCACTCAAAATGAAACACTCGCTCTCCCTTGGCTGTTGATCTGAGTCTTCCATGATTATATATGGAGTTTCAAGTTATTTCTCACCTTCAAGAGTCGTGGGCTTTACGGTCCTTTCAAAATAATAAGGACTGATTGTGAATTTCAGAACAAGTAAGGGATCAATTCTATAAGACAAGGCTGAGGAAGTTTTAGTCCATCTTAATCAGGTGTGCATCGTGAATTTTAGATGCTAGTTTTGGGTAATTTGGATTAGTTGCAGACAGAGGTAAATAAATAAGTAAATAAATAAACGCAAATTTCAATCAGAATTGGCTGATCCAGGTCGGGTTAGGTAATTTAACCAACAATGCTATCTTCTACCAACTAGAAGGCTTTTATAGTTTTATAGACAACATATGGACCAAAATATATATGAATGGACTCGGGAAAGAATGGGCATTCGAACTTCCCAAATATTTCACTGATATAATTGATCTTCCTCTGCAGCCTAAGATCAAGCTGATTTGGAGAGCTTTCATACTATGGGAAATATGAAAAGTGGAGAGTATGAGGGATTTTGAAGGAGATTGTTTTGGTAGAAAGGCTCAAAGGCAAGATTTTTGGAGTTGATAGTTAATTGAGAATGCTGGGATGCCTTAAGAAATGATGTGCTAAGCAATATTGAAGCTGCAAATATGGAAACTCAAAAGAGAAGAATAGGTCTTTAGAGGCCAACTCTACAAGGTACCGTCGAACATTTTGATGGTAGTTCCATTGGTAACTCTGGTCCTCCGGATATTGAAGGACCAAAACTATATTGGTCATACACGGCTCACATTCTGAGAACCTGTGGCTCTCGCTACAGCAAATGGGGCAGAAATGGAAGCTGTCCTCTTTCAGGATTGAAGATTATGAAGGCTGAACAGCGAAACATTAATAATTGCCAAAGATAACTTTTCAAACACTGCTTAATTAAATAGTGCAATGAACGAACAAAGGATCCCTGAGGTTGAATGGCACAGTCAAAGGTACTGCTCCGATCATGAATATGTGCCACAGGTGTTTTGAGTAGCATGAAAACAAACACCATGATTTATCTTGCCCCTCTTGATTCCACTTTGTCCCAAAACAAAACAATGTGCATTGAGGAAAACCAGTTTCTTAATTTCCATTCAAACAAACCTGTTAGTGTTTCCATTTGAGATGTAAACCTATTAGTTTCAATTCCTAGAAGAGAGAGAGAGAGAGAGAGAGAGAGAGAGAGAGATCTTTACATGTAAATCTATCTATGTCTATCTATGGATCCAAATAGATATATACAGAAGGCATTTTTACAGTGCTGATCTCTATAATAATATACAACCCAACTCTGCCACTGCCACCAAACCTGATGTACAGTGCCAGATTCGCCTGGAATCTCTCTCTCTCTCTCTGCTTAGCCCAGATTCCCCTGCCTCTGATTCACAGTCCCTCCACCAAGCTTCAACCCCACACTCTTCAAATCCTCAACCCCTTCCAACCCAAAACCTAGCCCTAATGGTCCTCCCTCCTCCCAATGCCTCACAAAATCCCCATCTTCTTGCCCCAAATTCTGCTTGCTATTAGTATTATTATGTTCTTGTGGAGGCTCTTCTTCATCACCGGCCATTAAACCACCATGTGTGGTCTTATTCGTATTGTTATTGTTATCCCAAAGCTCAACCCCAACCTTCTGTTTCTTGAAGGGAGACCCTTCACAAATGGGTGGGGTTGAGGTGCTGGTCACAAAAGCATGCGGTGCAAACTCATCTGAAGCTTCATTAGCACTAAAGGTTCCACCAAGCTTTTGCTGCTCTTCGATGATCTTTTGGAGATACTTGCCCTGAGCTTCAATCCTTAACTGTAGTTGCCTCTGCACCTGGAGAGAGGGAAAGAGAGCGGGGGAGAGAGAGAGAGAGTGCCCATTACAAACTATAGCATTTATCAACATGTCACATATAAAGTATGCCAAAAGAAACATATGGTACAGGTGTGTGTGTGTGTGTGTGAGAGAGAGAGAGAGAGAGAGAGGGAGATCTACATGGATCTGAGTTGCCTAGGTCTAATCTAGGGTCCCTAGAATGGGTTAACTGGTATAAATCACCCACTTTGAGCCCCTGCTAAATCAGATTCAGAGATAAACCTGTTTATACGGAAACAAGAAACTACTCAAGGCGTTTGTGATTGAATAAGCGGCTTGTTATCATGAAATATCGAGGATAAAGCATAAGACATAGGAAGTAGCTAATTTTAATTACACCCTATGACTACAATGACAGCTTGCAGTTGATGTTTTTCACAAACAAAGAAAGGCCAAACTTATGATGTTTCCCTTAAATCTTTGCGAAATCCTTGAACACCATCACTAAATCTAAACTTGGATTGTCCCACTCGAGCTCACTCAGACACAGCAGGTTACCAAGTTCAGACCCAAACCCCTTGGAACCGGCCAAGTATGGCTGGTTCCCAGTCTTTTACTAGTATTATTTCAGGACTTGACCAAGCCTCTGACCGACCTGGCTGAGTTTGTCAGACATCACTGGGCTAGGACCCTGGCGAATCCCCACCCAGGTACTTGTTTTAAACCACTGAGCACAAAGTCCTTTTCCCCATCGCGAGCTAGCACGGATGGGAGTCGAGTCTGAAACTCCTTGACCATGTCCACAAGGTTGTCTATCAGACATTACTCGAGCTTGGATCCTGGCGAATCCCCAGCTGGATCCTTGTTTTAAACCACTGAACACCATAAATTACTTTTCCCCATCCAAGTCTCCAAGTCCTTGACCATGTACACTCTGCTGAGTCTGTCAGACTGGGCTCGAGCTCGAGACCCTGGCAAATCCCAACGCAAGTCCTCGTTTTAACCCATTGACCACCATAAAGTTTTTATTGTCCCAAACTCTAGATAGCTAAGGGTGGGGGTTAAGACGCCAATTCCTTGACCATGGGGGTTCTAGGCAGAGGTCATGTCAAGGTGGAGGGTGCCGAAACTTGACATCTAGAGTTCCATTCCAAAGTTAACATTAAATTTTTTTTAAAAAATTGCTTTCCAAATTACTTTTCCCAACTATTTGCTTTCCAAATTGCTTTTTCCAACTATTTGCAGTCGGCTACACGAATCCTACTCTATCAAGGGCCATACCATCAAGAAGACCATAAGTCCCCATATCTTTTCTCACTACTTCCCAAGTTCCAACCACGTCCTTTTGGGCCTATCTCTTGCCCTATTGGATCCTCCCACTTAACCAACTTACACCACAAAAGAGGTGTAATATTGGGTCTATAACGCACATGGCCAGCCCACCCAAATCTACTTTCTCTCATCTTATTGCCTATTAAAGTCACACCCAAGTTTCCCCGAATGTGTTCATTTCGAGTTCTATTCTTCCTATCTTGCCACTCATCTATCTCAACATCTAGCTCCCATGTCTATTTCACATGAGAAACAAAATAATTCCTGATCCAAGGAACATTTAAAGAGCTACAGAACCCACTCCGACAATCTACCTGATATAACACCAGACTAGTAACCATACACAAGCACGCCTTAGCAAATGAAAAAAAACTCGATCATGTTCCAACACTAAAAATTCATCAATAACTGACAATAAAGGAGATGCTTCCTTAACAGATCATCAACCTACGCTGAACTTGCTCCCCGTTATATTCTCTAAGACACCATAAAGTAAAATGAAGCAAACAACTATGATATTTAATTTCAATACTAACACTTCATCATACTAAACTCATCCTTTAAAGAAACATACTTCATCATACTTGAGCACATCTTCTGAAGAAACATCAAACATTTTAATTCATGCACTTAGAAAGTTCAGATAATCATGAAATGGAATCAAAAGTAATAATTTAGTTGCAACAAACCTCCAACTGTTCGTGAAGTCGTTTCTGCACCTCCATCTGCATCCTGAGTGCTTCACTAATTTGGGCACCACTGAAGAAAAAGAAATATATCAACCATATGAAGAGATACAAAAAGCAATATATATATATATATATATATATATATATGGGTTTTGTTAGGCTACACCACTTGGTGGTATATACCCTTAAAGTCCTCAACATTTTTTGACACTTAGATACCCTTATCCTATAGTGTAGTAACTTTTGGTCTAGGGGAATTTTAAGTAATTAGTCAAGGGTAAAGTAAAAATTCCTAATAGAAACAAAAGCATTTATTAACAATAATAGTCCACAATGACATCACCGACATGGTGTGTGACATCAACCACAAGATGCATTAATTATTTTTTAACTACTAATAGAATGACACTATTTTCTTATAGAAATATCCATTATACCCTTCTAAATGACCCAAATGCCCCTACTTGAAAAGTTTTGTATTACAATTCAAGGGTATTTAGGAGTCCAAAAATGTTGAAGACTTTAAGGGTATACACCACCAAGTGGTGTAAGCCTAACAAAAACCCCTATATATATATATATATATATATATATATATATATATAT